TTTAATTTAACTTAATGTCACTTGTGGAAAAGGTGGCAGCTTTTCTCGCACGGCACATCACAAATGCTTTTTGCTGAATAATGATCATGCGCTCTATCATACCAAGGTCTTTTTCGAATAAATGTCAGAAACAGGAATTTTTGCCACGTATGACTTCCAGCGCAATATATGGTAAAACTCCATATATCTGACCTGAATTATTATTATCTTGAATGATTTCATCTTAATTCGAATCCGTTCTAATATTTTTTCTTATTTATTTATTTTCATTTTTCGCTTTGTTTAATTCAAAAGCTTTTCTATCATGAATGATATAAACGAACGATATACTAACAATATTGTACTGAATTAAAAAATAAATTGTTGAAACGTTATTTCAATTCACTTTTCTTTTCGCTTTTAGAATTTTTTTTTTTCCTTACAATAGGGAGTTACACTGATATTCGTTTCATTGTTTGTTTTCTTTGATAGCCTATCAAATACAAATAAAGGAGGATTGATCAATTTACAATATGATAAAACCTAAAAAGGATTCATTTCTTTGGCAGGAAAAATGTGTCTTTTTTTTTTGTTTCCTATCATCATTTAAATGATCTCTATTAAATTCACAAATTAAGTCGCTTTTTGAAACTGGTTCTTTCAACGTTTCAAAAAAAAAAAAAAGCTGGAATTAATATACTATAAAAATCAAGTATTCATGTTGATAAAGTGTAAGTTTTTGATGATGATGATATTAAGAGTAATGTAGCTGTGGCTAAGATTTATTGTATACAAATACTATAACAAATTAAGTTGCTAGTTTTCAGTATAAACAAAAATTTGCGAATAAAAAGTTGATAAGATGTATAATTTTTTATATTATCAATGAAGAACCAGATGTTTCAAAAACGATGCTCTCTTTCTGCATATGCAATACATCATCCAAATTCGCTGTGGTCCTCTTCCACTTAATTATTTCAAATTTCTTAAACGGGAACCATCCGACTGAAATAATTGCTAGTTCGAAATGTTCAAGTTGTACAAACATCAAACAAACGGAAGTGATTTACATGATTTTAAGCAAATAACCAGGACTTTATAAACTATAAAGCGCCATACTGATCAAAAGTCTGGGGTTTAAACTAGTGCTCCGAAAAAAATCCGATCTGATCTGGGATCTGCAGATTTGATCCGAGCTAGATCGGTTCGGTTTTCAAAATTTTGATCCGTAGATCAGATCGGATTTAAAAAAAAATCTGATCCGATCAGATTCAGATCAGATCAGATCAAACACGAGAAAATCTGATCCGATCTGAACAGATTTCGGATCAGATTTTTTTTTTAAATTTTTTAAAAAATTCATTTTTTTTTTAAAAACCCTTTCCTGGACGAACGGACGCCGGACGACCAAGATTTAAAAGAATGAACTAGGTAAGTTCATTTCTTTTTTTTTGTTATTTTTACTTGAGGGAACTTAATTAACGGTTCCCTTCTTTTTTATTAGGAAGCCTGGACGAACGAAGCCTAACGACCAGGATTTAAAAAAAAAAGAACGAACCTATGGTGAGTTCGTTCTTTTTTTAAGTTTTTTTTTTTATTTTTACTTAAGGGAACGTAATTAACGTTCCCTTTCTTTTTTTTTTAGGAAACCTGGACGTGGACGAAGCCATTAACGACCAGGATTTAAAAAAAGAACGAACTATGGTAAGTTC